CACAACCACAGCCATGCGATTAACTCTTAAATGTTCCCTGAAATGGCCTAACAAGTTCAGTTCAAGGACAATTAAAATGGTTAACAAATGCCCATTCAGTGGATAACTAGACTAGTAATCCAGGTTATATCCTGAGGATCCAAGTTCGAATTGCACCATGGCAGATAGTGGAATTTGAATTCAACAAAAATCTCGAATTAAAAGTCTAATGATGATTATGAATGCATTGTCAATCGGCATAAAACCCAACTGGTTCACTAATGTTCTTTAGGAAGAGTAAACTACTGTCCTTATCTGGTCTGATGCGTATGTGACTCCAGAACCACAGCAATGTGATTGACTCTCAAATGCCCTCTGAAATGGCCTAACAAGCCACTCAATTGTACAAACCACTAAAAAAAGCTTCAAGGAAGGAATGAAGTCAGACAGACCATCTGCCATTGACTAAAACACTGGAAATAACTGCGGGAAAGTTGCTGCAAAGTCCTCCTTCCTAACATCTGGGGATGAGTGCCAAAATTATGAGAGCTGTGACACAGAGTAGTCAAGTGACAGCCTAAATGTCATACTCACAGAAATCATACCTTACACACAATTTCCTGGAAAAATCATCTCAGAGTCTGTCTTGACAAGACACTTAAGTGGTGGCATAGTGGTGTACAGTTGAGAGGGAATTGCCCCGAGCTCCCCAACATTAATTCTAGACCCCAACAGCCTCTGATGCACCTGTACCCAAGGTCACCATCACAGATGTTAAATCGGCCTTCTTGAGAATGAATCCACGGAAAGTGACTGACCCGAATGGAGTCCCCGGTTGTGCACTCAGATCCTGTGCAAACCAGCTGTTGGGAGTATTCATTAAGATCTTTAATCTCTCCCTGCTGCGACCTTAAGTCCCCACCTGTTTCGAGAAGACTACCATCATCCTGATCCGAAGAAAAATCATGCAGCGTCCCTCAATGACTACTGCCCGGTGGCTCTGACCTCCATAGTTATGAAGCGCTTCAAGAGGTTAGTCATGGCTCACATCAACTCCACCTACCAAACTGGCTTGATCCTTTGCAATTTGCCTACTGCATAACAGGTTCACAGCAGATGCCATCTCCCTGGCCCTACATTCATCCCTGGAACTTCTGGATAACAATGATACCTACGTCAGGCTCCTACTTATTGACGACAGTTCCACATTTAACACCATAATTCCAAACAAACTCATCTCTAAAGTCTGAGACTTACGTCTCAGCTTCCCCCACTGTAACTGGATCCTCAACTTCCTGACCAATAGACTGCAGTCAGTAAGAACTGGTGACAAACCTTCCTCTATCATAATCCTCACCACCGGTGCCCCGCAAGGCTGTGTACTCAGCCCTCTACTATACTCCTTATACACTCACTACTGTGTGGCCAAATTCCACCTGAACTCCATTTACAAGTTTGCTGACAACACTACTTTTGTAGGTCAGATCTCAACAACCATGAGACAGCATATGATGATGTAAAGACAACAATCTCTCCACTGACAGCAAAATGGAGTAGCTGGTCATTGAAGAAGTGAGTGTAGGGCATGCCCTTGTCCGCATCAATGGTATGGAGGTGGAGATGGTCAAGAGCGTCAGGTTCCTGGGAGTGATGATCACCAACAATCTGTCCTGGTCCACCCACATCAACGCAACAGTCAAGAAAGCACAAAGCATAGTCTACTTCCCCAGGAGACTAAGGAAGTTGGCACGTCCACAAGTACTCTTACCAATTTTTACAGATGCACCATAGAAAGCATCCTATCTGGGTGCATCACAGCATGGTATGGCAACTGCTCTTCTCAAGACTGCAAGAAATTACAGAGTCATGAACAGTCTAGTGCATCATGCAAACTAGCTTTCCATCCATTGACTCCATCTGTACTTCCCGCTGCCTCAGAAAGGAAATCAGTGTAATCAAAGACTCCTCCCACCCCAGATATACTCTCTTCCACAACAAAAACAAAGTTGCTGGAAAAGCTCAGCAGGTCTGGCAGCATCCGTGAAGAAAAAAAAATCAGTTAACGTTTCGGGTCCGGTGACCCTTCCTCAGAACGTTAACTATGATTTTTTCTGAGCTTTTCCAGCAAATTTGTTTTTGTTCCTGATTTACAGCATCCGCAGTTCTCTCAGTTTTTATACTCTCTTCCACCCTCTTCTTTCAGGCAGAAGATATAAAAGTTTAAATACACAAAAGAATATATTCAAGAACAGCTTCTTCCCCGCTGTTATCAGGTTTTTGGATGGACCTCTCAAACATTAATTCTGATCTTTCTCTCTGCACCTTCACTGTGGCAATAACACTGTATTCTGCAGACTGTTCTGCTACCCTGAAGCAATTAAACACTTTTCATTGTATTTCAATACATGTGACAACAATAAATCAATCAAATCTTGTGTCAACAGATCAAACACAGGCAAGAACTCCTTCGAGGGACCACTGCATTGATCTTGTGGACGTAAAATCCTGTCTTTACATTGAGACTATCTTATATTGTGTTGTTTGCTAAACCTGATTGAAAAGATTTAACAATTTAACACTGGGGAAAAACTGGCGTGGGCCACAAGCAGCAGCACAATTAAACTCAAAGACAACCTACAATCTTTGTGGCAAATTGAACCAAGACATTAGCACCCTTTTAGTCTACTAATGCTATCAAGCAGTACTTGCTTATCCTGCTCCTATGATGCTGCTTGGCCTGCTGTGTTCATCCAGCTCTACACCTTGTTATCTTAAATTAATGATCTGGGTTTTACCAGGGCGGGTCAGGAACTGACCTCATTAAAGCTTTAGTTCAAACATGGACAAGAGAGACAAATTCTAGAAATGAGGTGAGAATGACTGTCCTTGACATCAAAGGCTGGATTTGATTATGTGTAGCATCATGTATCCACATAAAAGTGGAGTCAATGGGAACCAAGAGAAAATTCTGCTATGACTGGAGCCAAATCTGGCACAAAAAGAAGATGGTTATGATTACTGGAGCTCAGTCATCTCAACTCCAGGACATCTCCACAGGAGTTTCTCAGGGTAATGTCCGAGGCCAAAACATCTTCAGCTGCTTCATCAATTATCTACCCTCACATAACAGAAGTGGGAATGCTCACTGAAGATTGCACAATGTTCAGCACCATTCATGACTTCTCAGGTATTGAAACAGTGCATGTCCAAATGCAGCAAAACCTGGACAATACCTAGATTTAGGCTGGCAAGTATTATTTCCACCACACAAGTGCCCGGTAATGACATCTCAAACAAGCAAGAATCTAACTATTTTCTCTTGACATTCAACGGCATTATCAGCACCGAATCCCCTGGATGATCATGGCCACATATTATCCTGGCCACATATTATCCAGAAAATGAACTGGACTAGCCATATAGATATTTTGGCTACAAGAACAGGAATTAGGACTACTGTGGTGAGTAACTAACTCACCTCCTGACTCCCTCAAGGTTTCCACCATCTACAAGGCCCAAGTCAGGAGTGTGATTGAAAACTCCTCACTTGCCTGAATGAGTGCAATTCCAACAACACTCAAGAAGCTCAAAACAATCCAAAACAAAGCAGCCCACTTGACTAGCAACACATCCACAAACATCAGCTCCTTCCATCACTGATGCACAATGCATACCATCTACTCAATCCAACACAGAAATTCACCAAGGTTCCTTAGACAGCCCCTTTCAAACCACAAACCCTTTCGACTGGAAGGTCAATGGTATCAGATGCATGGGAACAATACCACTAGCAAGTTCCCTCATCATCCTAATTTGGAAATCTATCACCATTCCTTTAGCGCTGGGTCAAAATCCTGGAACTCTCTCCCTAACAGAATTGTGGTGACTTGAAACCAATGGACTGCAGCAGTTCAAGAAGGCAGCTTACCACCACTTTTTTTATCTTCACTTTTGGGACGTGGGCATTGCTGGCTTGCCAGCATGAATTGCCCATCCCCAAATACCCTCGAGAAGATTGTGGTGAGCTCCATTCTTGAACCATTGCAGTCCATGTGGGGTAGGTCGACCCACAATGCCATTAGGGAGGGAATTTCAGAATTTTGACCCAGCGACCCTGAAAGACTGGCAATATGTTTCCAAGTCAGAATGGTGAGTGGCTTAGAGGGGAACTTGCAGGTGATGGTGTTTCCATGTATCTGCTGCCCTTGTCCTTCTAGACTGAATTGGTTGTGGGTTTTTCTTGTTTGTGGCTGTCTTTCTTTGGTGAATTTCTGCTTTGCTGATACTATCTGCAAGATGCAGTGTGTACTGAGCCTCAGTGGTGGAGGGGGTGAATGCTTATGGATGTGGTGCCAATCAAATGGGCTGCTTTTCCTGGATGGTGTCAACGTTCCTGTGTGTTGTTGGAGCTGCACCCATCCAGGCAAGTGGAGAGTATTCCATCACACTCCTGACTTGTGCCTTGCAGATAGTGAACAGGCTTTGGGAGTCAGAAGGTGAGTTAGGTGCCACAGTATTCCTAGCCTCTGACCTGTTCTTGTAGCCATTGTATTTATATGGCACGTCCAGTTGAACTTCTGGCCAATGGTAATTCCAAGAATATTGACAGTGGGGAGTCAGTGATGATCACACCATGGAACGTCAGGGGCACTGGTTAGATTGTCTATTATTGGAGATGGTCATTGCCTGGCATTGATGTGGCATGAATGTTGCTTGCCACTTGTCAGCTCAAGCCTGGATATTGCCCTTTTGAAGGGCAACTGATAATGGGCAATAAATGATAGCCCACCTAACAATGCCACATCCCATGAATGATTAAAAAGTTGCCAGCCTGGTCAGCAACACCCACAACTTCATACAAACAACACCAAGATAAACAGTAACAAAAGCATGAAGCAAAGCTACTTTTTGCACTATACACAAAGATTTTCTCAATTTCATTTTGGAAAATTGTAAAAAATTGTAAAAAAAAAGTTTGGTATGTCAAAAGATGGCCAGTTCTCCAAAATAAGTTAACTTACCCATGACTCATGGTACAAAACAGTGAGCAAATACATGGCATAATCATAATTCTGCCGCCGCAGTGGGCATCTGAAAGAAAAGTATTTAGTATTTGTAACTGATATGTAATATTAAAATCACTTTTAAAAAGTCAAGCTACTCCTTCCAATGACAATTTTTATGTTTAAGAAAGGAACTTTATTTAGTGAAGCATACTAAAATATTTTGTATACAGTTCTTCAGTAATCACTCTAAGTAGCAAAGCTCATCAAGTAAAAGCAGGCTTTTTGGTTAAAATGTAATAGCTCGAAACAGAAGCTAATCTCTCCACTTACTCAAACTTCAACTTTCCTTCCTTATTTCTGTGGCTTCACTTTTCACTTTTGTTTTTCCTTTATTTCTCCTTTATTTCTGATTTCTTCACGTTCAAATTACTCCCTTCCTCATTCAATTTATTAATTCTGTATGTAGTTATTTCTTACAGGTATTTCTATTTTTCACAGCATTTGTAAGAAGTTTCAAGGTCCCTCAATGAATAGAATTGAACATCAAGTATTGTGAAGAGAGACGAGAGAGGAGAATAAGCATGGTTGAAGCAACAGATTGAAAAAAACTTTGCTGGCAGTGTTTAACAGACCAATATCTGTATGCCGAACTAGGCAGCTGAAGACAGTTTTTTTTCTCTCCAAGGGTTTTGTTGTAAATCTTCAGTTTAACACAATTCTAGTTTCCACCCTTTCCCGTCCAGAAGTCAACATCCTACTGGGTAAGAGCTTAGCTTTTCTTATTTTTAAAACAACCTGCTCAGATAAGTTTTGACACGCCTTTGGAGCTGGTGGGATTTGAACTCAGCCCATCAGGTTCAGAAGTAGAGAGACTACCACTGGGCCATAAAGGCCCTTTAAATATTTTGAACTCAGGTTTTATACCCAGAGGTAGGGATGCTACCACTGTACTACGAAGACCCTCAAGAGATCAGCTCTTTTTTCCTCCAGCTATAGCAACCTATTCAGATGTGCATGACACATCTCTGAAGCAAATGGGACTTAAATCATGCCTTGAGGCTCAGAGGTAGGCACACCACCAACACTGCACCACAGGAGCTCCCTAGATATTTTCTAACCAACCTAAAGAGATGTTTTTACATATACCTGGAGCAGATGGGACTTCAACCTGGCCTCCTGGCTCATAAATAGGGACAGCACCACTACGTATCTCTGGAACAGGTGATATTCGAACCCAGGCCTCAGTGGCAGTGGGACAGAGGAAGTGGTAGCGTCTCTACCTCTGGATCAGCAGCCTGAAGTTCAAGTCCCACCTGCTACAGAGTTTTTCATAACATCTCTGAACAAGTTGATTAGAAACTACCTTCTGGTTGACCATTACAGGGACCTACATTTCTAACATTGACAGGTAGGAGTAGGCACTGCAAAGCAATATCAGGCCTTTGAGAGAATAGTCAAAACACTTAAAAGCAGACAGAGTTTGAGAGGTGGAGCTGGAGGAACACAGCAGGTCAGGCAGCATCAGAGAAGTAGGAAGGTCGACGTTTCAGGTTGGGACTCTTCTTCAGAGCTGCTGTGTTCCTCCAGCTCCACAGTGTTGACCCTGACTCCAGCATGTGCAGTTCTTAAAACCGCTCAAATTCTGAGATAGTAAGTTTTGGGAGGGGAGATTAAAACATGAAGACTAGACAGATTCATAAATGAAGATGAAGATTTCAAATTCACTATTTTGGAAGACAGGAACAAGTAGCGAGAATAGAACTGATACGTTAGCAAGTTGATGTGCAATGCCAAACAGAATTTGACAAATTATACTTTATGTTGTGTGCAGTTCAAGAAACCAGTTAGAAAGGCTCCAGAGAAGTTGAGCCTTGAAGTAACAAAAGGTTACATTAAGTGTTTCAGTGATGGTGGAGGCTGGACAGAGTTCTTGGCAGGGATGCTACAGAGGTGGGAGTAAGCAGTTTTGACAATAGATAAGAAATGGAATAGCTCGACCAAATAGGATACTAAAATACATATCCTTGGACTCAGCCTGAAAAAGCTACCAGAAAGTGCTTGGAGTCAGGGTCAGAAGTGAAGAGCTTATGGTCAGAGCCAAATGGTATGATTTCAATGTTCCTGGCATTGAACCAAAGGGAACTATGACTTCATTACATTCAAACAACTTGATGGCACAATGACAGTCACAGACCTGAGGACAGCAGGAGAGAATTACAGTTGGATAGTGCTATATCATCATGGAAAGATATTGAAAGTAATTGAAGAAAATGAGGAAGCCAAGTATGGACCAATGATGAACCACATAGAGGCAAGGAAAAAGGATTGATAGAGATAGCAGTACTGTTAAAAAGCAGAGATTAATGAGGTCACAATAGGAATTAATTTTCTTCTCTTCCCTAACCATTATGCTGAGCTAAACTGGTTAAAAAAACCTAGAAGGGGACAGTATGAAGAAAGTTACAAAAATGCCACATTGTTACAAAACAATTGATAATGTATGTGATAATTTGGTATTGTACAATTGTATTACTAAGCGGGGATAAAACTGCAGGACTTTGTGATGTTCCCTCTGGATACTTAGATTTACTGTTTTGTAATAAAGATATTGCCCCAGTGACTTAATAAGCTTAACTGCATTTATAACTGACATCAGTTTCGTGTTACTGTACCTGTCTGTCGTAATGGTAAGTATATCTGTGTCTTTGTTGTATCGATTTCCTACAAGTTTAATGAATTTCTTCTTAGCATGATCATCCAAATTCAGACTCGAGAGTCTAATCTTTAAAATACAAAAATGAAATGCTTACTTGAGCTTCACCAAAATATTTCATCAAAATTATAGAGATGCGCCATTTATTTTGCAAATAATAAGCTAATCTTACTCCAAATGACACTGGCTACTAACGTATCATAGTAAACTTGAAGTAATACAACCATTATAAGTGTTACTGAGCCTCAACTCAATTTTACTGACGTATTTTAGGGTAGTCATCACAGTACATATCATTTGCAACAAAATATGTTTGCTTTCCCAGGACTAGTTTTGGAAAGAAGATAAAAAAGGGAACTAGATACAAATGTTTTCACCTTTTCATGGATGCCAAGTTTAGTAAAATTCTAGATTTCAACTACTCTTCTTTACATTTCAATTTGTGAATTCACCATATTCAGAGGACTGACCTACCAGTATTGAAAACAAAATACAGCAGTCTAATTCCAATTCATAAAAGTCACCAGTCAGTCAGAACTGCTTTCTTTCTTCACGTAAAAAACAATATGTATAATGGCTCGACTCCAAAGAACTTGATGAGGGCTGTGGGAAGGGCAAGGGGCAAAGGAAGGATGGAGGGAGGCAGACTCTGCAAGGTACTAGAGGAAGAGTAAACAAAAGAATGGACACATTCTGTGAATTCACTATGAGCAATTCAAATACATACACACTAAATAAAATGAAAATAAACAAAAAGGGTTTTACCACATTGGGTTGCTGATTGAAATCTGCTCCCACAGGTTAATGCCCTCAACTCCAGTTTCAATAGGTTATCATAAATGAGACTTGATGATTAAAGTTAACTTTTACTGGTGTACACCTTGCCCCTCAAATGTGAAAGAGCAGGTATTAGCTGTTGAAAAGAATAAAGCTTTTGAGAGGTTACATCTTCCTGTGGAATGAAGTGAGGTCTTGTGTGACTCTTGGTTGCATGAAAGAAAAATACCCCATTATCTTTTGGTCTCTGGCTTTGTGGCCAATAATTGCAGGCGCAATAGCTTTCCCTCATCACGCCTACCTTACAAATGTAAAGTACTGCTTTAACAAGTATTACCATTAGCTTAGCAACAGAACTTGCTGAGAAAACTCAGCAGGTCTGGCAACAACTATGGAGAGAAAGCAGAGTTAACATTTCAGGTCCAGTGACCCTGCTTCAGAACTTTGCTTTCTCTCCACAGATGCTGCCAGAGCTGCTGAGTTTTCCCAGCAATTTCTGTTATAGTTTCTGGTTTCCAGCATCCCATTCTTTGTTTTCTTTTGATTAGCATTAGCTGCATGCCTCACTTGCCTACAGGTTAAGATCACAGGTAGTGGAAAAGAAGCAAATTCTGAATAGATAATTAGTCTGCTCAGTTTCAACTGTTCAAATGTTTGGTTTCCCAAGTCAGTTACAAAACAATTAAAATGTACTTCTCTAATATCCTTGAACAACTTACGCCATTGTTCAAATGTAAGTTGCAGTGCTAATAACCCTTTAGCTATATGTGAATTTACATTTTTTTTTGTTCAATATCTCTAACATACAATCTAATTTAAGCCAAAACCAGTCTCCTTTCTGAGACTGTAATCTTTAATTCCAAATTCCTCAGCCTTGGAAATAAACTCCAGGTATCTAAGAATATTATACATTTCAATGAAATTATATTTCATTCTTCTAAAATGCAGATAAGATGGGATTAAATGGACAAAACCTATCTCGCTGGACAACTCAAGTCAGGGTTCAGTCTAATAAGCCTGTGTTGCTCTCCCTCTAAGACGTGTATATATTTCCTGAGGAAGGACAGAAAAACTGTGTATAATAGACATCATTAGCAGAGTGATCCAGAAGTGCCCTAATTATTTTAAAGGTTATCCTAAAAATTGTATTTCTGACAATCTGGTTGAACTCTGGGGAAAAAGAATGAATTACTTCCAAAAACAAGGGTGCTCCAACATTGCACTAGGAGAACAAGATCTTTCAGTTAGCTTGTAGTTACAATTAATGGTTAGAGCTAGAACATCAAATCTTTTCAGGTTTGAGTCAAGGGCTATAATATCTGGTCAATATGTGTATCACTGAAGATGATTTAAAGAAAAACTAAAAAGAAACACTGTACAATGCCTAGTTGGGAGGTTGAAAAGGGTTCACGCAGATTTATTGACTGCTGAATCGCAGTAAATCCTTAACGATTTACATTTTAAGATAGTTTTGTTATTTCACACTGTACTGTTGGGTTGTGTCCCATATTCCTTGTGTTGCATCTTGAAATATAGAGGCAGTTGGTTTGTGCATTCAATGTTTATATTTCCCTTCCCCAGTCTCATTATCATGCGGCTGGTAAAATTAATTGTAGTTGTGTGCCCATCAGCTTACCTCGCTCCCTATCCAGATCCCTTTGTTTGGTTTGTCTCATACTCTGCTTTGAATAAACGTTAGGATAGCTATGATCACTGTTGTGTAAGCATTCCCATACTGGCACTTGACTCACTTCATTCCTGAGAACCAAATCCAGCAATAACTCTTCCTTTGTAGACAGTTTGTATATTTGTAGGAATATTTATAGAAATTCTTCCTCCTTTGCACTATTACTATTCCAATCTATATTAAGATAAAAGCTACCGTTATCACTATTGCATAATTATTGCACCTTTAATTTCCCTGCAAATTTACCACTATATATCTTTCCCACTAGTTGGTGTCATATAGAATACACCAAATAGTACAATGGCACCTCTATTCATCAACTGTAACCAAATGGATTCTGCCCTTGACCCCGCCAGGAAATCCTCTCTCCAGAAATGGAATCTTCTCCTGAAATCAATACCATCACCTCTCATTCTCTTTTATTCCCCATCTTTATTTTAGATTCTAGAATATTTAGTACGTATCCCTGTCTTTTGAGTCCAGACTCAGCTGGGGCAAAAATTGTGCTTATTTGTACCTGCAACACATCAAACACAGTTACCTGTATGCAATGTAAACCTAATAGAGACATTACATTCTGTCTTTTTCGAACTCCACTTTACACCCCATGATTACATTAGTCCTATCTGCCATTGTGCATCTTCTGTGCATCTTGTTTCTCCTTTCAAATGCTACATCCTGGTCCCAATCTCCCTAGTGAGTTGATTTAAACCACCCCAACAGCACTAGCAAACTGTGTATTGATTGCAAAGTTGCAACCAATCTCTCCTAAATAGGTCTCATCTCTACCAAACTGAGTGCCAATGCCCCAGGAAGGTAAAGCCAGCCTCTCCACTATTACAATCATCAACACTTTCCTCCTAATTCTACTCTTAAATATACATTGAATACTGTGGCCAAGGAACCAAAAAGAAATCAAAAGGTTAACTGAAAAGGTTATTAAAATTAAATCAAATCAAAATGTCAGCCTGAAGATGCATCCTAGCCCACTGCAGTGCCCACCGATTCCAAAAGCCTAAACCATTCCGGTGGACTCGCATGGAAATTTTTAAATCAACCTATTCAGACATGTTATGACCCACATTTGTAACAGATGAGACTTAATGTGGATGTTCTGGCTCTTTCCTAACCCAATACTCACTAGTGCATGGAACTGGGAGTAATCCAGAGATTAGTAACTTTTGAGATCCTGTGTGCTATTCTCTTTCCTTGCTCATTTTGCTTATGTCACTGGAGTTATTCGCTGTTGGCCCTCAACTTAAATTACTTAGCACCTCCTTCCCTGTGTGTACTCAATGTGTCTCACCAAAGTTCCATTGTCACTTGTGACAGGAAATCGTTCCTTTCAGTCATTTTCCCAATGCTATGGCACACAATTATTTAGAATGATTCTAAGACATCCGACTTGGTAACCTTTCTGCATAATGAGGCAGCTCTATTTACAAACAACCTTGCTATCACTGGTTTAATCAGTTTTATATCTAATTTGAAGGAAGAGAAAGTGAGAGAGAGGGGGAGAGACAGAGAGAGAGGGAGAAAGAGAGGAAAGAACAAGAGAAACAGAAATAACAAAAGCAAAAGTGAGCATGAGCAAGGGAAAGCAAGGAGGAGAAAGCAAAAGCGAGAGAGAGAGAAAACAAAAGAGAGAGACAGAAAGCAAAAGCGAGAGAGACAGAAAGCAAAGCCAGAGAAAGAGAGGGGCAAGGAAGGGACAGAGATAGTGTGAGATAAAAAGAGGAAAGAAAAAGAAGAGAAAGAAAATGAGGAAGATTTCAGCTACTTTTCCTATTAACTCAGTATCACAGCACAGATGTTTCAGCACAAGAAATAATCTCCACCTTGGTCACTTGGGTAGGAAAATTACACACACAGGTTGATATCATGAGCTGACAGCAGTGCAGTGGAACTATAGTTCAGTAGGCATCCATTTTTGCTAACGAAGCAGCTAAATTGATATGCTGCATAATATTTCAGCAGAGGAGTTCCCTGAAGTTCACAGCGAATTTGTTACACCTCCATGTTGCTCAGGAGCACATTTTTTGACTGTTAAAATCTCTCATCAAGGAGGGACTTTTAGCATCAATTTGGTTAGATTACATTAAATAGTTTTACATATTGTGGCCTTTTGCCATTTATTCATCACTTACTGTCATGGTAACCACTCTAGCCTTGGGATTGCGTACAGAGGGTCCTGCTGCAACATAGTCTGTTGTCCTAATTTCGATTGGGAAATGATGCTCACATTTTTCATCACTATCAAGCATTGCTGGCCACTCAGTGCAGAACTCTGCATCAGTGAAATAATTAGAAAGATAAAACTTTTAGTCCATTTAGCATTAATAAAGAATCATTATTGTAATCTTAGTTCATTAGATAGTGTTATGCCTCAAGGTTTGGACTATACTGAAAATCTTATAATATCATGGGTCTGCTGAAATAAAAATCACTGCATTAATTTTTAGCATTAATACTGGAATTATAAAAAACTGATACATAAGCATCCAAGAATACTTTTTTTTAGCATTTGCAAGATCAGCCATTAGATTTAACTTTACAGCACATTAGATCAATCCAAGTTTGATATAGTCCAAACTGCTAGAATGCCTATAGGGGTTTTAGGTAAAACAAATTTAGATAACTCATCTCAAGCATGATTGGAAAAATTGTGTCTCACAAACTTGATTTGAGTTTTTTGAGGAAGTTACCAAGAAGATTAATGATGGTAGAGCACTAGACATTGTTTGTTTGTATTTTAGTAAAGGCTTTAACAAGGTTCTGCACGGCACACTAATTAGTAAAGTTAGGTCACATGGGATTCACGGTGAGTTTGCCAATTGGATACATAATTGGCTTAACAGCAGGAAACAGAGTGGTGGTGGAGGGTTGTTTTTTGGACTGGACGCCTGTGACCAGCGGTGCTCCACAGGGATCAGTTCTGGGTTCTCTTTTGTTTGTCATTTATATAAATGATTCAGATGAGAATATAGAAGGCATGGTTAGTAAGTTTGTGAACGATACCAAAATTGGTGACATAGTAGACAGTGAACGAGGTTTTCTAAGATTACAAAGAGATCTTGATCAAATGGGTCAATGGGCTGAAAAATGGCAGATGGAGCTCAATCTGGATAAATGCAAGGTATTGCATTTTGGTACAACAAACAAAGGTAGAGCCTATGCAATTAATGGTAGGGCCTTAGGTAGTGTTGTAGAACAGAGGGACCCAGGGGTGCAGGTACATATAGACAGGGTAGTTAAAAAGGTGTTTGGCATGTTTGCCTTTATCGCTCAGTCCATTGAGTATTGGAGTTGAGAAATCATGTTGAAATTGTACAGGACATCGGTGAGGCCTCTTATGGAATACTGTGTCCAGTTCTGGTCGCCCAGTTATAGGAAGGATATTATCAAGCTGGAGAGGGTTCAGAAGAGATTTACCAAGATGTTGCCGAGTATAGAAGATTTGAGTTAAAAAGACAGGGTGGATACGCTGGGACTTTTTTCACTGGAGCGTAGGAGGTTGAGAGGCGACCTGATAGATGTTTGTTAAATATTGAGAGTTATAGATAGAATTAATGGTACTTGTCTTTTCCCTAGGTCGGGGGTTTTTCAAGACAAGGGGGCACATTTTTAAGGTGAGAGGAGAGAGATTTTAAAAAGACATAAAAGAGGCAAATATTTTACACAGAGGGTGAACTTCCTGATGAAGTGATGCAGTGACAATTATAAAGTTTAAAAGACATTTGATTAGATACATGAATAGGAAAGGTTTGGAGGGATATGGGCCAGGAGCAGGTAGACGGGACTAATTTAGTTTGGCATTATGTTTGGCATGGACTGATTGAACCAAAGAGTCTGTTTTTGTGCTGTATGACTCTATCTCAGGTGTTTAATAGAAAACTGAAAAAATTCTGAGGTTTATATTAAGATACAATGTTGGAAGCTTTACTTAGCTTTGGAAGAAGCTGTGCATAATACGGTTTCGCTCAAATGTTGACAATATGCATTAAAATGTCCTTCTTTCGGTCAAAAATGTCTCATGATGATGAGTACAAGCAAACTTTTCAAAAACATTTTACTTTATCATATTTAAAGAAGATTTCATCATTTCCAAACACTAAAGCATGATTATATAATAACCACCATGAAAGACCCAAATCAAATATTCACACTTTGATTGCATATTGTACTTACAGTACCAATATTTCTTATACCACATAGAAAACAAAGAATGTCAACCATATTGCGTTGTAAATAAAAAGGTATTTAAATTAAATTCTAGTTGACCTTGCATGTTGTCAAGGACTCAAGATCTGAACAATATTGAAAAGCTATACTTATATTCTCGGAGAATGTTAGCAATTTCTAGCAATACAGTATAGATCAGAATGTGCTAATATGACATGCAACTAAATTAATGGAACAAATTGCAGATTTTACATTACAAAAAATACTTTCTTAAAATAGTAAAAGATATGCATTGCAGTGGAAAAACTAAAAGCACAGAAATACTAGGGAACCAAGGGAGTTGTGAAAATAAGAAAGTGAAAGAAATAAGTATCGCTAAGGATGTAGAACTCAAAAAAATTAACAGGATTGAAGCCTAGAGTGTTCAGTGACATGCACCATAGAAACAGACCCTGCAGCCCATCATGTCTGTGCCAACTAACAAACACCAAACTACACTAATCCCATTTACCTGCACTTGATCTGTAGCCTATTATGCTCTAGCATTTTAAGTGCTCATTCAGATGTTTCTTAAATATTACAAGAGTACTTACCTCACCAGTGTCTAAGACAGTGTGCTTCATATTTCTACCCTTCTGGGTGAAAAATTCTTTCCTCAGACATCCTCTAAACCACTTTCTCCTCACCTTAAACTTTTTTTATGTCATCTGGTCTTAGACATGCCTGCCCCAGGGAAACGATTCTCGCAATCTACTCTGTCCATAACTCAATTTTGTATGCCTCAAGCAATTCCCCTCAGCCTCCTGTGCTCAGAGAAAACGTCCAGCCTATCCAGTCTCTCCTCATAACTTAGACTTTTCATCCCAGGCAACATCCTGATGAATTTCCTCTGCACCCTCTCCAGTGCAATCATGTCCTGATAGTGTGGTGACTAGAACTACACACAGTATTCCATCTGAAGCCCAGTAAATGTTTTACAAAGCTGCAGTGAGACTTCCTTGCTCCTTTATTCTATGCCCCGCATGATGAAGGCAAGCACCCCGTATGTCTTCTTCATCATCCTATCTACATGTGCTGACACCTTCAGGGATCTATACTAAGGTCCCTTTGTTCCTCAGTACTCCCTAGGGACTTACCATTCATTGTGCATGTCCTTTATTTGACCTCCCAAAATGCATCACCTCTCACTTATCAGGATTAAATTCTATCTTCTAATACTCTGCTCAATTTATTAGCTGATCAATATCAGACTGTAGCCTGAAACTATCGTTCTCACCATTAACAACACCAACAATTTTAAGGTCATCTGCAAACTTACTAATTATACCTTCCAATTAACATTCATGTCATTGATGTACGTAATGAACAGCAAGGGTCCCAGCACTGATCCCTGTAGTACACGTGGGTTATAGACTTCAATCACAAAAACACCCTCCAACAGCTCTTACCTTTTGGACCAGCCTTCCACGTGGGACTTTGTCAAAGGCCTTACTGAAGTTCATGCAAACCATCAACTGCACTACCCTTAATATATTTAGTCACCTTTTCAAAAACTAGTCAGACAGGACCTCCTCTAACAAATCTGTGCCGAGTATCCTTGATCAATCCTTGACTTTCTTGTTGAAGGAGATGGCTATAGATTAAATGATGCTGCTAGTTATCTTACAAAATTTTATAGCTTCTGGAAAGGTTTCCAGAAACTGAAAAGTAGCAAATGTAACCCTACTGTTTAAGGAGGGAAGGAAGTACAGAAAAAAAATGGTGAACTATAGACTTGTTAGTTTGATAGCAATAGCAAGGATAATGTTTAAAATTATAAAGGATGCAGTAACTAGATATTTTAAAAAAAATGATGTGATTGGCAGAGTCAATATGGCTTTATGAAAGGGAAATCCTGTTTGACAAACCTGTTGGGACTTTTTGAGGATGTTACTTCTAGCATGGATAAATGAGAACTGGAAGATGTGATGTATCTGGATATTCAGAATACTTTTGGTAAAGGTTCCACATAAGAGATTAGTAAACAAAATTAGAACACTGGAGACTGGAGTAATAAACTGGTTTGGACAAAACACAGAAAGTAGGAATGAATGGGTCATTCTCAGGATAGCAGATTGTTACATGTGGGATCAAACAAAAATCAGTGCTGGAGCCACAGATGTTCAAAATTTATATAAATGTTTTGAATGCAGGGATCAAAAGTAATATTTCCAAATTTGCTGATAACACAAAACTAAGTGGGAATATAAGTTGAAAGGAAGATGCAAGGAGGCTTCAAGGGCACTTGGACAGGCACAAATATGGTGTATGGAATAAAACGTGCATGTGAATTAGGAGCATCAGTGTATTAAATAAATTCTGAAAAGAGCTCCGGCCACAAACAAATCAACAATTTCATCACAGCAAACGCTCGGAAACTGACATAGCTGTATGTACAACAACATTTTTAAAAAACCATTAAACATAGGAAAGCAAATGGTTAAACAGATATTAATGAATCAAAAGAAAGTCTGTTTCATTTTGTTACAAGCCCCATTGATATAAGAGATAAGAGTTTCCAATGACCAATGCAACGCACCTCACGAGATTTCATTTTAAAACTTTTTCAGTAACTAAAACTGAAATCAATATCAACTAAACATTATTTAGGAGACAACAAATACACTAAACTATGGAAAAGATATCTTCCTTTAACTTCTTTGCATTTGCCGACACTGAGACCATGCACAGTAGGCTCTAGGGAGACATTTGTGCATGTGCTAGTGACTGAGATTTATTGAAAAATACCTGCATGCGTGTCTTTGTCATTGGGCTGGCTAACAATATCAAGGAAGCTGAGAGAAATGGGTTCTGAGGAGAGAATGGATCTGGTGGGAGAAACAGATCAGGCGTAGTCCATTCACTCATCCATCCCCACAGACCCATTCATCCCCAATTCCTGCCCATTCATCCCCAATCCCTGCCCATTCCCCTTCCCCCAGCATCTCATCCATTCTCTCCCCTCTGGCCCCATTCAATTCCCATTTCAATCCCACGCCTGTTTTGTGCACAAGCACAACGTGGATGATTGCATATGACAGAAAGAAATACAGGACCCAGAACTGTGCACATTTGCATTGCTGTATGAAAATGTATGTGCAGTCACTTCAAAGTCACCAAATGAAAACACTCATACCACATTTATTCATTACACGGTACTCTCCATGGTGAGTGACAAGTTTAAAATTCAACTCCTCTTGGAGTTAACAAGATTCTTTCTCCCTGATTTGCAAAGGGGAATCTTCCAATGCCCTTATAAACCAAGTCCTCCCATTGAGCCTTTGGAGAATGATTGAATTAACCCCCTATTGTAAAGTTCAATCTAGTGATTCTAACTTTCTAGTTTTCTGAAACATGTGTTCTGAGCTCACAAGCCTTTTGCTGGTGGTTAACCCAAGAGCAGTCCTTCTCTTCTTAGCTGAGCAGCACCCACTCAAGAGTTCTTTTTTCCCCAACTTTTTTCAGTTTGATTGACTCAGAGTCTAAAGTGATAAAACCAGGTATCTTTTCTTTTTGGTCCAGGTATTAAAACTAACATATGAATTTGAGTAAATTTGGTCCTAAGTCTCTTAAACTGACAGTTTTAAACATAATTACCTTGTAAAGTCTGGTAGTATCAACAATATTTATCGAATTGTGCACAATCAGACGACCCAATGTCCTTTACAACCAAAAAAGTACTTGAAGCCTAGTCAGCATTGAAATGTAGGAAACAAGGAAGTTAATTTACACTCAGCAACTCCCACAGGGCACAGTCTAATAAGCTATTGTCATTTTGTTTCACAGGTAAATATTGACCAAGATGCTGGGAAAAATTCTCCTTCTGCAAAACAGAGCCATGCGCAGAAGTCAGAGTTTAAAGTCTCTCCTGAAAGAAAGCCCCTCAGACACGCACATCTTGCTTAGCGTTGCATTGGAATGTCAGCCTAAATTGTTGTGCTCAAGCTTTGGTGCAAGACTTGAATCCACAATCTTCTGATTAAGCCATAACTACTAAAACTTAATCTCAACTTTTTTTTGAGCAGCCAACTTTAAAAGTGCCTTACAACTATGACAGCATGTTATAGTTACTGCAGAATAATATAAAGCCATTTTAAAATGTAAAGGCTACCTTAAAACTATCCACCATAAATTACAGGTTTACCATGTGACCTACCTTTTAAAGCTGTACAATGTCGTTTTATTGCGGGTGGAGTGAGATGTAAGAAATTTGAAATCTGAAACACATTTATAGATAATAAATATAAGGATTATTTTGTCTGCTTTTTGAGCTGTAAATTTGAACTTTTAACTTTATTTCCTTATTTTCTACATTTATATTCTATGTCATGTTTTGTGTTTTAAGATGGTGCCGGAGAATGGCAACAATCTACAACACTTTTCACTGTATTTATAATAAATACATGTAACAAGTACATGTGACAGTAAATAAATAATAAACGGATTTAATTTAGCTCGTGAGGATCATTCACAGCAAGGTCAGAGATATTATTGCAGTCTGCAAACCATTACATATTGTTGATGGCAAAATTTAACTAGGGAAACTGACATCTTGTAGCACTGCAAGTGCATGGATCGAGAATTGGTTGACAGACTGGAAACAAAGAGTTGGAATAAACATGTCTTTTTCAGGTGGCAGGGGGTGACTAGTGGTGTGCTGCAAGATCCAAGCTTGAGCCCTAGATATTCATGATATATATAATAGCTTTTGGATCAGGGAAGCAACAGTAATATTTCCAGGTTTGCAGACAACACAAAATTAGTTGGGGTTGTGAGGCGGCTTCAGGGCAACCTAGACAAGTATGTGGGCACACACATAGCAGATACAGTATAACATGAATAAATGTCATTCACTTTGATGTGAAAAACACAGTATTATTTAGATGGTAATATATTGGGAGATGTGGATGTACAAAGGGATCTAGGTGTCCTTGTACACCAGTCAGTGGAAGTTTAAGAAGGCAAATGGTATGTTGGTCTTCATTACAAGAAGATTGGAGTTCAGAAACAGGGATATCTTACTGCAGTTATACAGGACCTTCACAAGACCACAAATGGAGTACTGTGTGCAGTTTTGGTCTCCCAACCAACAGAGGATACACTTGCCATACAAAAAAGCAGAGAAGATTCAACAGGTTGATACCAGGGATGGCAGGGCTGTTGAAGGAGGAGACATTGCTTTGGTTTGGTTTGACTGGGCCTGATTTCTGTAGTGTTTAGAAGAATGAGATGAGTCAACCTGTGGAATTTGCTACCATGGAAAGTTGTGGAGGACAAGTCAGTGAGTATATTCAAGAAAGAAACTGACATTTTTTGACATTAATGGCATCAACAGAAAGAAGGAATTATTGCATTGAGACAGAGAAACAGCCATGATTATACTGAATGGTGGAGCAGGCTTGAAGGGTCGAATGGCTACTCCTGCCTCTAGTTTTAAGTAAAAATGAATCATGACCAAAAAGAACATTAAGTTCCACTATCAGGATTCTTATGATTGAGTAATGTTGTTAAAGGCATTATTTGAAGAATTAAATTTGCAGAATTTTAAAATGGGGATTAAAGAAAATTTAAACATTGCAGCAGTTACCACCAACAATTTTAGACAGTTATTTTCACAATATTCATCAATATTCATAATTCTTCACAGGCACAAAACTGGAACATCATGCATCTTGCAAAATTATTTGACTTTCAGTAACGACTATAGTTAGAAAACAAACAGCCGTCTGTTTTACAGTCACTAGAAATTGTTTATCAAACAAACAACTTAACCAGTCATAATGGCACAAAGATTTTGAAAGAAATAAACAACACAATCCTTTACTGTTTAATAATTATTCAAGGTGTGTATTATACATTCCCAATGTCAGAAGTGATATCTAATGCAACATATTTTTGAAGTTTGGTTATTGGACAAGACCGCCTGTTTATTTTTAAATTGTGAGCATATACAAAGGTTTTCTTTTTCAATATATTAGTAGCTGCAAGGCTGTGAATTGTACAACTCTTGATTCTTGTTACAAAGAAATATGCAAAACATATCCTTTGAATAAGCTCAAAATCATGAAAGGGGATAATTTCTCAGAACAGAATGTAGAAAGGAGTTAAGAACATTGAACATACAATCTGATTTTGTGGGTTCCCAATTAATTGGGGGAAGTCAAGCAATTAGGCTCCAGTAATTTTAATTACTAAAAACACCTTTTCACAATTCATCATAGACATAAAATTGGAACAATGAACTTCATAATGCAGAAATTATTTAGCTCTCAGTAATGACTAAATTCAGTCCCCCAGAATATACTCAAAGTTAAATCACCAAATGGATCATATGATTTCTGTCATTTTATCTGGTGTTTTCGTTCATCACTAAGATCAGCTATAGTAACATGTATCACATCCTGTAATTTGAATCTTTGTATTTAGTAAAACTGTTAATCCAATTATTTAAAACTGGTTAACATCAATGGAAAGTGAATTTGAGATGGATATATCATGTAGGCTAGTTTCTTGCAATGGCATTTCAGAACACTCATTATAATTATGGTTGGTTGGTTCATCGAGCTGGTTCATTGATACGCTGACGTTTCATTACCCTGCTGGGTAACATCATCAGTGCAGCCTCCGATGAAGTGCTGTTGTGTTTTCCCGCCCGTTATTTAAAATCTGGTATCCATTGAGCTGGATGACCTCACTTCCGATTTTCCTTCGCAATGGAGTGTATATGGGGTCGAGCTCTATGTGCTTATTGATGTCTTTTTTAGCGCTTCATCAGAGGCTGCACTGATGATGTTACCCAGCAGGGTAATGAAATGTCTGCGGAACAATGAACCAGCTCGACGAGCCAACCAACCACAACATCCACACCCCGAGCTACAAATCTACTCAAATCTTAGAGACTCATTACAATTTAATTGACTAAAACAAAAAGGTAATAAATTTATCCATGTAATATGTGCATCCTGTTGGTTTTGTCTCCTTTCTAGAGGTTGGGGCTTGAGCTGGAAGCTTCATTCAGACTTGGCAATCTCAAGCTCTGGAAGACAATTTTCTAAAGAAAGGCTCATCAAGGCTACAGGATTATTTTCATTCTGTTCTTGTTGAACTACAATATTCACACAATTACAACCACAACCTAAATTTCACATCAGGTAGTATATAAACAGGAGCTGATCAAAGTGTTTTTTTGCATTTTTATCACTGTCTGTGACACTATGACTGTGAAAGTGAAAGATCATTGGCACAAGACAACCAGATTGAAAATTTAAAAACACTAGGCTTAAGAAGCTGAAACCAAAGGCTACTAATGCTTTCCTCAGAATTTCAGACAGTTCAAGTTACCAAAAGCAAAACACCTGAGCAAATTCAGTTGATTAGAGTTTTATTTTGTATCCTTTAGAAAGGCACTGGCTCCACGCATCAGGGATCATTATGAGATGCTTTAATGCAATCTTGGACAAAGACATTTGATTAAATCATATTAATTCTCACTTTCATGAGCTCCAGGTTTCCTATCTTGTTTGGAGGTACTCCTCTCTTCACTGGATAGCCCATGCGAATAGGAAGCGGTACAACAGAAGGTTTAAATGCTGCAGCTGTTGGGTACACATTGCACCAATTCTGGTCCACTTCCATCTTTTCAGTCCTTGGAGGTACTGGCTAAAAATATGAAATATCATTTTAAAACTTTGTTAAATGTTTTAAAAAGTTTTGGTTTCTCACATTAGCAATTTTATTAATCAGGATCTGAAAGAAATAAGTATAAAATATGGTGTTTTACCACTAACTGTAATAATTAAAGTAATCTATTTTTTTCTTCAGTCTCAGAGTGTGGATGGCACTGGGAAGTTCAGTATTTGCCTCCATCCCTAATTGCTGAGGTGGTGGTGCTGGGCTTCTTGAAGCAGTGGAGACTCTTTGGTAAATGTGCTCCCAAATACTGTTGGTTAGGCGATGAGTTCCAGGACTTTAATTGACAGGAAACATGGAGACATGCTGATCCCATACACTTGCTATCTTTGTCTTTAAATAAAAAACTAGTGGAAATCACAAATTTGGGAGGACTTGCCAAAGAAGCCTTGATGAATTTTCTCAATAAATTCTGTAGGTAATAACACCATTGACACAGTACACTGTCAGCAGAAATAGATACTTAAGCCAGTGGCAACAGAACTGCTTTGTTGTGGAAGGTCTTCAGCCGGGAGTATTGTTGCAGGCACACATCTGAAAAGTGTGAAAATGATTCCATCCCATTATGAGTTGCCGACTAATGAAGTGGCTTTGAGAAGTCAGGAGTTGAAGCACTTGACACAGAACACCCAGTCCTTGAACTGCGCAAGTATCATTTGTGACTAGCTCAGTCCATACAACGGATGAACAGGGTAAAAATGAATACTTTCAAGATCAATAACAATTAAATAACAAATCAGTTACCCTTCACTCTGTATTCTTTAGGTAATGGTCAGGATTTTAAAATCACTGAACTGCCATGCCAATTTTCTGTAGATTATTCTCAGATTCTTAAACATGGTTGATAATACATGAGAGCTGTGCAATAACTACCTCTCTCCTTTGTTTTTCTTTTGAAGGTTTTCTTTTGCTTCTTGTTACCGCTGAAGAAATAAAACATCCAGCAGAAAGTTAATTAAAGAATCTTACAGAAAGTAATGATACTTACACACACACACACACACAGTCATACAGCATGGAAACAGACCCTTCAATCCAACTCATTCACACCGACCAGATATCCTAAACTGATTTTATCCTATTTACCAGCATTTGGCCCATATGCTTCTAAGCCCTTCTGAAATAAAAACAAATTCAGCAGGTTTGGTAGCATCTGTGGAGATGGAAATAGAATTAACATTGAGTGAAATGTGACTTTTCTTCAGAACTGAAGGGGGCTGGGAAAAATGATTTTTATGCTCTTAACAAAGAGAGAGGAACAGCAAGTGAAACAGATGGTGAAAGTACCTCGGACAAAAGATAAAGAAGTGCTAATGGTAGACTGCATCTATATCTCTTTATTAAGTGCCAATGGTAGGTGTGAATATAGATTAAACTATATAGGTTAACTCTGCTGAGAGCAAACTCATGGAAACAAGGCATATGAGGTGGGACAAGGAGAGAGAAAGTATGTGTGCACTCAAAATGGAGTACAGTATTTATACTCTGAAGCTGTTGGGCTCAATGTTGAGTCCTTTAGTTTATAAAGTACCCAGTGGAAAATGGGGAACAATTCTTCCACCTTGCGCTGGGATTCAGTGGAGATCTGCACAGGCCTAGTGTGAAAACATTAGCATGAGAGCAAGATGGGTGCATAGAAAAGGCAAATCACTGAAAGGTCAGGATCGTTTCTACATATGTACAGCAGTGGTGTTCTGCAAAGTGTCACCCAGCCAGAATTTCATCTTGCAAATATACAGGACACCACACTACGTGCAGTGAATGCAAAGGACTAGATTAAAAGTATAAGAAAACAGCTACTTAACCCAGAAGGCATGTTCAGTTTATTGGACAATAAGATGGTAAAACAGCAAGTATTCTGTCTTCTGAAATTGCATGGGAAGGTGCTATGTTGGGGCAAAGAGGTGTTACAAGTGATCAAGTGAACCAAGGCATCATGGAAGGGATGGTCCCTGTGGATTGCTGACATGGGGAGAGGAGCGATGAATTTGGTGGTGGCAGAAAATGGGAAAGGATTGAACACAAAGGCTGGTAGGGTGGAAAGTGAGGATAGGGGTACATCATTGTTCTTAGGGGAAAATAGTGAAGGCAGCATTGTGGGAAATGGGTTGGACATGACTAAGAATTGTGCAAACCACAGGATGATATGATGGAAGCACTCCCTCAGAAGGTGTTATCATTGGAACAGATATATCTGAGACGATGGAATGAAGTCCTTACAGAATTAGAATTAGATTTTATAGTCACGTGTACTCAAGTACAAGGATACAGGAGTACAGTGAAAAATGTACAATGTCACCTAGGTACAAAGCAGAAAAATAAAGTTAAAAGTTCAACATTACAGGAAGCAGGGTGTGAGGCATAGTGGTTATACCATTCTCTTTGTTAATTAAAGACCCAGTTTGGAGTCAGTCGCCAACCTCAGCTCTTGAGTGAGTCAGTGACTGAAGTCGAGGTATCTCTGGACACAACCACTCTTAGTTTGACCTTCTCATTACCTTCGGGCGACGTCGTAGGAGTTGGCGAAAATACAGTAGAATAGAAAGCAACGCCTCCAAGGCGCAAATTCACTCGACTCCACACAGCTAATGATCTCAAACTACATTTCATCGCCATCACCGTCTCCTCACACCAGAAACTATTAGAATCAACAACTCCTCCAAGAGCCCATAGTGCACTAGGCGCTAGTGAATCAACGACTCATCCAGTATCCCATAGTGCACCAGGCACAGCTTCCTGCAATCTGAAGTGCTGTGAATGATCGGTGAGAAGTGTAGTTCAGATTGTCACCAACAAAGATAGTCAGTCAAAGCCCCGTTCGTTTCGATGCTGTCAATGTCAACATTTCGAGAAAATATAACAGGATTTCCCCATTTCCTTCCTTTTTAATTCCTGACTCCAAGACGCATAGTATTTTTGCGAGAAGACAGCGTTAATGTTTTGACAGCAGAAGAATAGAGAGATACGCCGACATTGGTACAAAGATGATAAAGAAGCTAAATTGAAATGGAGCAGCACATCATATTTCCACATATCTTCTCAGCCCCACTCAAGATGTAACCAGACATAGTGATAATTTTGATGCGGATGCAAAATGACCTCCTTAATTGCCAATTAAGTTAGAAGATATTTTAGTTAATATAGAAAAAGGAATATGCCAACTGCGCCATCTCATAAATCAGAAGAAATTCAGGGTGACCGATTGTCCATTATTCTCATATATTTCCTGTTATTTTTGACTGTCCTTTTGTCTCGTATTTCCAGAACAGCCTGTGAACCGGGAGTTTCAGAAGGATGATTTGGGTAGGACTGAGTGGGTCAGCTGAAGCGTAATAAATGTGAGTTCACAAGATAAGTTTCAAGTTTTGGTTCTTTTAACTCATGCCACCATTGCTCCCCCATCTGCTGTCGTAGTCCATAGAAATTCTACCCCAGCTCCACCACCAGCACCCACTCATTTATCATCAGCAAAACCCTCCGGCCCAGTCCCATAGTTGAAGTTTCCCTGATTTTACTTCACAAGAGTTGGCTGCTCTGCTCTTAAAAATTAAGTCTTGATATAAAAGTTGATTTTTTTTCCAACAGATTAACTTTTTTAATATAAATTTAATTTGTTTGTAATTAATATGATGGAGCTCTTGACAAAAAAAAATTCCAAAACCCAGCAACAACTTGATTTTATGTATCCCCTTGTTTCTTTACAGAGGTTATAATTAAAGCAAAACTTTGAGCCACAATCTCTGGCTGTATCCTTGATGTGTTTATTCACTTCATCTATCATGGCACGGTGGCTCAGTGGTTAGCACTGTTGCCTCACAGCACTAGGGTCCTGGGTTTGATTCCACCCTCGGGTGACTGTCTGTGTGGAGTTTACACATTCTTCCCATGTCTGCGTGGGTTTGCTCTGGTTTCCTCCCACAGTCCAAAGATGTGTAGGCTAGATGGATTGGCCATGCTAAATTGCCCAGAGTGTTCAGGGATGTGTAGTTTAGGTGAGTTATAGGGGGATGGGGTCTGAGTGGGATGCTCTGAGGTTTGCTGTGGACTTGTTGGGCTGAAGGGCCTGTTTCCACTTGTAGGCTATGATCTAAATGACAATATTAGAACAGATAACCAAAACATTTGTAAAAGAGATATTTTAAGGCATGTCCTAATGAAGGAGCAAGAGAAACTAACTGATTGGTAAAACAAGCTGGTAATATTTTACTTAAGAGTATCTCTTGGACAAAGTGAGGCACAATAACAGTGCAGATGCTGGAATCCAAGGTAGACAAACAGGAAACTGGAAGAACACAGCAAGCCAGGCAGCAGCTGGAGAAAAGGAGCAGTTAATGTCTCAGGTAAAACCCTAACCACTTGTGCAATTCATCAGTTCCCTTTCCCATTTAATCCTGTGTATTATAACAAAAAACAACTTTACCAAACACCTTAGAATCCTACCTGTTTCCTCAGCACATGTTTAATAAAAACCCACCCTCCTAGTACAGTAGAATGATACAATTTTAAATGAGACCATTCAGCCCATGTGTCTGTGACAGCTGTACAATTTGACACACTTTTCTTTCATTTAAGTATCTATCCAATTTCCTATCTCTCTTCCTCCACCTGCTCCAATTTTTGGTACCATCTCTTGCTATGTTAGTAGTTCAATTGCATCTTATCTAAGATGCCTTTCAGTCAGTTATACAATCATGAAAGGCATCTCAATGTGCATAATCATGTTTATGATCAATAGTGACAAACACATACACCATATTTTTACCTATTTACATTTCCTAGTCAAGATCACTACACAGCAATTCAAGAACAAAAGTTCTGTCTGACTTTCCTTCTCCATAGCCTGCTGAACAATAAGGTGAATTGTGACCCTTTGCAATGCCCATCCAAACCCAGGAAACAAAGCACAGATGTGAACAGTGTAGAATCTTTCGGGCCTGGAGAGATGAGTATTCAATTGAAAGAGTTATATTTATGGCTGAGACATAGAGAATAACCTGGAGGTCACAACCACTGCTCTCATACTCCTGGTAGCAATTGCTTGTGCTTTCCTTTTCATCTCTGGGCTTCTAAAAATTGAATTGGGTCTGTCAACCAATTTGCAAGAATTGGTGGGCTTATTTGAGAGTGTAATAAGTCTTTGAATCAATGGAAAAATGCACCAAGATACCATTTTGTATTCTTAACAAACATTGAGACACATTAAGCAGGATTTTGAGCCCCTACCAAAGCCCAGACAGGATGTAGGAATGATTTTAAAACAAGTATGCTGGTAAAATGAGCTCTGTTACATTTCCAATGATTTTTGCAGAGATGTAAGGAGGGATAGGCTAACCACTACAGCAGTGGAGTCAAGGTAGTTTGTTAACAATTTATTGAGTTAAATTAAGGGAAGCTTACTGAAATTTTCCAATTGATCTCCAAGTTCTTGCAGACAGCAGGGAGCCAGTTTTGGTGCATGGAGGCTACCTGCTAATGGCAGTCAAGGGACCAGTGCTTCAGGCAGAGCCAGAGCCCTCACTAGAGACATAAATCAATGTCAGGAGCAACTTGCTTCCTTCTTTAACTAGGTTCTGTGTGTCAAAGTAAATGTCTCACGAGGAAACTTTGAGTTCCTGAACAAGAGGGATTAATGCTTAACAATAGAGTCTTGCATCATTAAAATCAGCTTCTGATCCTACCATTTTGCAGGCAAGCTAGATACCTTACAGCTTTGATGTAAATTATTTAGGGAAAATGTGGTGATTTATTGGTGGTGGTTAATAAATGGTAAAATACTACAGGTGATTCGATGATTGGAAAAAAGAATGCTCAGTTGCATGGAAGAGCACTTTTAGATTAAATGAAAAGAAAACTGGCAGAGAAAGAAAAAACTACTGGTAGTAATGTAGGTAAGACCAAAATCAGGAGAGTAGAATATGCCAATCGTGAAGTGCATACAGGACTTTAAAGGATAACAGACTTGTTGATTATGTGAATGAGGAAGGATAGGAAATCATGGTCATAATAATCTAGGTGATCATTGGTGACTGACCAGTGCAATCTTCCTCTGAATAGGCATGTGGCTGGGTTGAAAGGATTTGAAGAAGGATTGATGAGGGTGGTGGAAAACTATTGGCAACATAGTGCAACATTCCAGGACCATGGAGATGAAAGTAAGGTTTGAACCAGTTAGTAGTTGGATAATGTGGTCTAGAAAAGGGAGTGATATGGCGGTCTTAATGGAGGATAGAGAGAAGTACACACAACACCAAGGGTTTTTCCATCCAATGCACAGGCACTGGGTCAAAATCTTGGAATTACCTCCCTAAAGGCATTAAGGGCCAACCTACAGCATGCAGTGGTTCAAGAAGGCAACTCACCACCATCTTCAAGGGCAACTAGGGATGGTCAATAAATGTTGGCCAGGCAGCAATGTCCACGTGCCATGAGTGAATAAAAAATGTCCTGTTATTTTGTTTATTTCCTGTTTTCATACATCTTATGTTATAATAAAATGGTAAGCAGGTATCTTCTAAATAAATTTTAGAACTGAAGAGTTAGGTATATAAGACTAAATTTAAGGAATGAGTAGAAAAATACCAGTTAAAAAGTACTGAGTTTAGTAACAACTAATCCTGGTTTTAGGTCATAACCCATTTATAAAACAGTTTCAGAAAAAGGGGAGCTGAACAAAACAAATCTTTTAAAGTGCTGTTGTAGAAATGTACATCAAAATTCCTTCTCTTAGTGATTAATGTTTCTAATGTTCAAATTTGAAATGAATATAAAAACTCATTTATTTAATGGCACTAAATCAAAAAATTAGAATATTAATTAGAGTATCATTCCTTCCACTAAACATTCTAAACTTCAAATAGCTGCACACGTATGTATCAACATACATGTGGAGTGTACAAAATATACATATATAAATATATATATGTGTGTGTGTGTATATATATATATATATATATATATATTCAGATCTGTGACAGTACATGTATAGCATAAGAGTATTAGGAAACAAATGCATATGTTTCAGTGTATGAAGAGTAGTCTGTCCTATATAGGGAGAAGCAGATGTTCTCAATTCAACAAGATAATCTTCTCAATTGCTCCAATCAAAAAGTCTTTCCTTAGGCCTCACTTTTCATTAATGTTTACTTATGATTTGATTTGGTGTGAGCTTTGACATGATGAGGCTTAGTGAAACATTCAGAGTATTTTTAGGATTACTCTGATTTGACTGACTAGTTTTAGTATTATTGTCACTTTTATATGTGGTGTTTCTAATTTTGTGATAAATGCTGTCTATACCTTCTTTATAAACCCTAAATAAGTATATATTTGGGCTAATGTATTAAATGACAAAGCTCTCATAACTCTGGACAGATGGTTGTGATTAAGAGTAAGAAGATTGATTCCTGAACTAAAGTTTTGAATTTAGGTAAGGCTGGTTTTGAAATGATGAACAGGAATTGACCACAACAGACAAACTAGAACTGATTACAGGTGAAACTATGGATGTTCAATGGGAGACATTGGGAGAAGGCCTTGGATAGACTCTTGGGCAATAGCAGAGGTAATCATGTGAGATCAGGATGAAAATTCATTCAAAGTTATTCTCTGACTGATTATATATTACGAATGGAACAAGGTGAGAGCTGTACCACACAGCTAGGTGATAGTGGAGAGGCATTAAAAGGTATCGTAGAGTTTGAAATAGTGGGGATAGGGAAAGAGGAAGTATATATGGAGGAATGAAATGTTCAGCAAAACAGTGATCAGTGTGATGTTGATAAATCAAGGAAATTTAGTTGCAATGTCAGCTTTACTTTTAGAATGTTTAATAACTGAATGACTAAGACACAATATGTCAGAAAGATTAATCGAAACTTGTGACAGTTCAATATCCAGTGTACTCTTGGCTTTGCAGATGAGAATTAGTTAGGATGACCTGTAAATTACTAACTAAATACTGAGTCTCTGATTGAAACAGAGTGGACCAATGCAGTCAAACCCAATCCTGTCACTGATGAGATTGAACTTTCAACTTGACATGTAGCAAGTTTGGTAGTATACATGTTGAGAAAGCAAGATACCAATTTCTCAACATGTCCTGCCAGAAATTTTGGTGAAGGCATCTTCTTGTAAGTCTCAGCAAACTATCCCCCAGTGGTGGGTAATCAGCTGAGAGTTTGTTGCTGAGCGGATTTAGGCTTGCAGGGGGAACATATTGGCTCATCAGCATGTCCAAGGAAATGATTGCACAATGGCAAGCTGTAGTGAAGAGGAGCTGGAGAGTCTGCAAAGGAAGATAGGTTAGATGAGTGGGCGAAAAAATTCTGACAAAATGGGAAAATCTGAACTTGCCTACTTTTCAGGAATAATAGAAAAGGAAGGTTATTTTTAAATGGTGAGATTGCAAATGCAGTGGTACAGAGAGATCTGGGTGTCCTTGTACTTGAATCATAAGTTAGTATTCAGGGAGAACAAGTGATTAAGAAGGAAAATGGAATATTGATCTTTATTGCAAGGGGAATGGAAAGCTGAAGTAGGGAAGTTGTAGTGCTGGTGAACAGGGTGTTCATGAGATCACTCTAGAATACTGTATGTAGCTTTGGTCTCCTTACTTGATTAAAGATATAATTACACTCCAAAGCAGTTAAGAGAAGGTGCACTCAATTTATTTCTGGGATGAAGGGCTTATTTTATAAAGAAAGATTAAACAGGTCAGACTAATACCCATTGGGGTTTCAGAAAAGGAAAGGTAATCCTGAAACATAGATGATCTTGAGATAACTTTATATGGTGAATACCATTAAGGTGTTACCTCTTGTGAGCAAGACCAGTGCAGACACAGAAAAAGGATGAGAAGTCTCTTTTTTTAGGGGATATTAAATTTCCTTTTTTTTTAAGATGTCTGTTAGACTGTGGAATTCAGATCACCAGAAAGCAGTTGAGGCTGAGTTGTTGAATTTATTCAAGGCTCAGTGAGATTATCTATCAAAAATCAGGAAAGTGGATTTGGCTAAATGGAGCAATCAGATCAGTCAAGGCCTTGTTGCATGTTGGAGCAGGCTCAAAGGGCTGAATGACTTATTTCTGCTCCTAGGTCCTATGTTCCTGGAGTGATAACTATTCCTAATGCTACGTGGCAAATTATGGAAGAAGCAAGGAAGAACATGCACATTGACACACAGTGACCACTGCATATGTAGTGCTCAAAAGTGTTTCAAATGTAACCATTGGGGAAATTGAATGGAAGTGTCACTGCAGGGGTGAGTGCAGCATTGTAGGAGGGTCTAGGTAGCTATTTCCATGAACTGGTGGCTTGAGGTGCCATTCTTGGACACAAGGCTCAGCTACATTGAGGTGGCAATGACTAGTGCTGAGGAGCCACTGTATCAGTATCTGGTCGTGGAAGGCATTTTAACTTGTTGTGACGGCACTGTGAATGCATCCTCCTTCTCTGAAGTTGCCATGACTAGCACAGTAGCATGGTTAGACTGCTCTTCCACAACTGGCACTGTGACAAACATGACACGCTGGCTAGAAAGCTCTTCTTTATCAGTTGCTGCTCATTCAGAAAAGCTTATAAATCAGCATGGAGTACAAAACCAAGAATGGAGCTTCATGCCCTTCATGTTGAATTGGTAATATGCTTTCACCATCTCTTGAATAAAGACCCATCTGACCCTCAACAGCCTCCTGTTGAGCTGCCCCCCTGGTTATTTCGATGCTTCTTCCCTCTCCTTCATGATTAGTACAATGAAAAGAGTCACTGTATCGTGCAACTCCTTTATGTGTTGTGCGCTCCATTTCACTGGGCCGGGATGAGAGAGCATGGTGTTCTCTTTCATCCTGTCATGTGGCTTATTTACATGTGATGGCCATGGCTCCAGTCTCACCTCCTTCACAAGTGCTTGTGATGTGAGCTTTCAGCATGGCTCACTACTGCATCCGAGCACACATCCTCACTGTACATAAGCAAACTGCATCCTCCGGCACCACACGGTTGCGGAGGCCACCACAATCATAGGCCGATCACTTCGGTGCAGCACCGCATTCAACCTTGCCAGACCTCAAGAGACTATTGAACCACTTCCTGCTTTATTCATGTCTGGCTGACTACACTGCCTGCTCACCTCCTGCTCACCCTCCATTCATTCCGGCATCGCTTGAATTGCCACCACCTCTAACAACATATCCAGGGAGTCTTTGAACAAACAGGAGTGCGAAATGAGGGATAGCCGTAAAGCTCAGTGAACTGGAATTGATCTATTTTACACAGGTAAATAGAACTAAGAGGGAACGGACACGTAAGAAATCCGTGAAATCAGACTTAGGGTGAAAAAGACTATGAAGGATTCCAAACCCAGTTATGTTATACATATTTTTATTCAAACTTCATAATAAACAAGCGTAATAACTTTCCAATCCGAGAGGTCGATCCAAATTCCAAGTAGATTTACAAGTTGCGACCTCTGTCTGCTGATCACTGCGAGCTGTCTCTGCCAGAGCGGCTGTTCCTGCTGATTGGTACAAGTGAGAGTTGCGCTTTGTCGATGGGGGCGCCTTGGGCACGTCGCCAGTGCAGTCGGTATAAACCGGGCGCGGCTACCACCAGCTCTGGGCCACTTCATCATCAGCAGCAGGTAAGGTTGGAGCTCCTGGTGAGGAATACCGTTCAGGTATTGTTTAACTGCGAAAGCCAGAAGGCAATAACATCCCTAACACAGCCTCGACTGAAAAAAGCAAGTTTCAGCTGTTGACAAGCAGAGAAAACAGATATTTGCAAATTGTTGTAAGTTTGTTTTTCATTGAAAATCCGAGTATCTAAAAAACGTGGTAGTCCGTTTAGCACAAAGGCGGATTATTTAAAAAAAACCTTTCCGCAACTCCATGCGGACATATCAGCATTTGTTTTCTACTTTGCTTTTGAGCTGATATTCGAATTTGTTTTATTTTCGGGTTAGTACTCAACATACTAGTTCAGTTGTAAAACACCTTATTGAACTCTGATTTAGTAATTTACACCAAGATTCCCCACTTTATCTTGTTCTCTGGTCGACAAGTACAGAGAGTCAGATCATTAATCTAACTCCTCACTAAGCCGCCGGTTTGCTTCCACTTATTGATGTTTCTTTCCATTGCTGGAAACTCTGATTGTAATGGTCACTGACGAAAGAAGCAAGATTTGATCCTTCATTTTTTAAAATCCGATTTCTAGGACACTGAGCTGTGATTTGCTGGATTACCGCGTTGAAAATCCAAGGCAGTCCTTTTTAATACGGTGAAGCAACAGACCCAACAAGTGACCGTAGTGGATTAAACAACTCTATTTACATTGGTGCAGGAGCAGACGGCCCCTCAAACCCGCTCCGCCATTCAGTCAGACCATGGCTGAACTGGATTGAGAATTGCACCGGGAACCGTGGTTAAAAGGACGGGATGTCATACCCCAATGGTGCGTCGGTTGGATTACCCATGTACAATCTCCAGGATCAAGTGCAAAGCTCAAATTCCCAACTGTTGACCGTCAATGGGCACAGACATTCTCCGGCGTTTTTGGGAGTGGGAGAGGATGCGGTTGACACTGGCTATTCTCCGGTTTCACTTGAGCAGGAAGAAGTCATGGTTAATAATGGATCAAGTATTCCTGACAATCCGGAGGCGGATACGCCAGATTCAACCCTTCCGATAAATAGCGCATCCATGGCCGGCTCGGAGTCCCGCAAAAACAGCTTGTCCACTCGGTTTTACCATCCTTACATGACCAAAACTAGCATGCAGGGAGATGTTTACAACTTCTTGGAAAGACCCAGCGGCTGGAAGTGCTTTCTGTATCATTTCGCTGTGTAAGTATTTAGAGTTTTTTTTTTAAATAGCTAATAACGAATAATCGAAGAACTGTTGAGACAGAGATAGTAGGAACTGCAGATGCTGGAGAATCTGAGATAACAAGGTGTAGAGCTGGATGAACACAACAGGCCAAACAGCATCAGAGGAGCAGGAAGGCTGACGTTTCGGGTCTAGACCCTTCTTCAGGGTTCAACTGTTGAGACAGAGATAGTAGGAACTGCAGATGCTGGAGAATCCGAGACAACAAGGTGCAGAGCTGGATGAACACAGCAGGCCAAGCAGCATCATAGGAGCAGAAAGGCTGACGTTGGGCCTAGACCCTTCATCAGAAATGGGGGAGGGGAAGGGGGTTCTGAAATAAATAGGGAGAGATGGGGAGGTGGATAGAAGATGGATGGAGGAGAGGATAGGTGGAGAGGAGACAGACAGGTCAAAGAGGCGGGGATGGAGCCAGTAAAGGTGAGTGTAGGTGGGGAGTTAGGGAGGGGATAGGTCAGTCCAGGGAGGACGGACAGGTCAAGGGAGCGGGATGATGTTAGTAGGTAGGAGATGGGGGTGCGGCTTGAGGTGGGAGGAGGGGATAGGTGGGAGGAAGAACAGGTTAGGGAGGCGGGGACAAGCTGGACTGGTTTTGGGATGCGGTAGGGGGAGGGGAGATTTTGAAGCTTGTGAAATCCACATTGATACCATTGGGCTGCAGGGTTCCCAAGCGGAATATGAGTTGCTGTTCCTGCAACCTTCGGGTGGCATCGTTGTGGCACTGCAGGAGGCCCAGGATGGACATGTCGTCTGAGGAATGGGAGAGGGAGTTGAAATGGTTCGCGACTGGGAGGTGCAGTTGTTTATTGCGAAACGAGTGTAGGTGTTCTGCAAAGCGGTCCCCAAGCCTCCGCTTGGTTTCCCCGATGTAGAGGAGGCCACAACGGGTACAGTGGATGCAGTATACCACATTGGCAGATGTGCAGGTGAACATCTGCTTGATGTGGAAAGTCTTCTTGGGGCCTGGGGTGAGGGAGGAGGTATGGGGGCAGGTGTAGCACTTCCTGCGGTTGCGGGGAAAAGTGCCGGGTGTGGTCGGGCTGGAGGGGAGTGTGGAGCGGACAAGGGAGTCATGGAGAGAGTGGTCCCTCCGGAAAGCAGATAAGGGTGGGGAGGGAAAGATGTCTTTGGTGGTGGGGTCGGATTGCAGATGGCGGAAGTGTCGGAGGATGATGCGTTGGATCCGGAGGTTGGTGGGGTGGTACGTGAGGATGAGGGGGATTCTTTTTTGGTTCTTATTGCGGGGACGGGGTGTGAGGGATGAGTTGCGGGAAATGTGGGAGACACGGTTGAGGGCATTCTCGATCACTGAGGGGGGGAAGTTAGCGTCCTTGAAAAATGAGGACAACTGAGATGTACAGGAGTGGAATGCCTCATCCTGGGAGCAGATGTGGCGGAGGCAAAGTAATTGGGAATAGGGGATGGCATTTTTGCAGGAAGGTGGGTGGGAGGAGGTGTATTCTAGGTAGCTATGGGGGTCGGTGGGCTTGAAATGGATATCAGTTTCTAGGTGGTTGCCGGAGATGGAGACAGAGAGGTCCAGGAAGGAGAGAGAGGTATTAGAGATGGTCCAGGTAAACTTAAGGTTGGGGTGGAAGGTGTTGGTGAAGTGGATGAACTGTTCGAGCTCCTCGTGGGAGCACGAAGCAGCGCCGATACAGTCATCAATGTAACGGAGGAAGAGGTGGGGTTAAGTTGTTTTCCAACGCCGGTTCCATGCCAGTGTGCTAACATGTGCTCTGGGAATTCTTGGTAGCAGTGGTTTACAAAAACAAAACTAGCCGTGTCTTTAATTGCTACTCACAGATCAATATACGGCCACAGATTTCACTCAGTGAAAATTCTTTCGAGTTATGGGAGTAAATGTTCTGAATAACCTGCCAAATTGGATACCCAACTTCACACCTCCCGTTACTCGGCTACGATAATGCATTGTTTTGATGTAAGCTTTCATGTGAAAAATTACATCCTTTGAAAATAACTGTCTAAATCCAGGCAGGAAACAGTTTCCTTTCAAGACTGTGACAGAAGTACTCCTCTTCCAAAACAGTAGGGCGTTACTCGGTCAATCTTCTTCTATCGTGTTTAATGTGAGCTTTTTTTTTCCTTCTGCAATTGCTTCCCCAAACGTTTTGCTTTGTGATGTATTGTGAGCCAGATAAGAGGAATCTCATCCTGGGGTAGCCGCATTTTCCACCCACTTTGATAAGGTCGAACCTGCTGTACTCTTCGTCACTGCAAATGTATTCATTTCAAATAGTTTGTTAAACTGGAAACTCCCTTTTCAAAGCGCATTTTCTTTTCTCTGAACTTTAGTTCAGTTGGCTTGGGATCCATGCGATCATGACAGGAACCATGTCGCTCTGTCGATACCTCTTTAAATCGTAATGAAGAATTGCACTACGGAGTTTTCCATGTTTTATTTATGCGTATGGAATAACAACTTAATTTACAATAGTCTGCCCTTGGATCTCAACAAAGAAATCTCCCTACGAGTCACATGACAAATCGTATTATGATGACCATTTAGACGCCTCTGTATATCCGATATTTCCTCCAGTTCCAAGGTTCTTAGACACATCTTTGAGTCTTTTGAAAGTATATGGAATATTATAACATTTAATTCAAAATACTTTGGCTATATTTTACAAGGTGTTTGGGGACTGAGGAAAATGGGAAGGTGACAGTGTCCACCATCTTCCTGCCATGCCAACTTGCCAGTGGCAGGAAAGCTGGTTTATCTACCACCCACTGAGCCCAGCTGAATCACTTAAGTCACCAACTTAAGGACCACTTGCTGCCTCCAGGAGCACTTCACCTGCATAACTTGGTAGGGTGACTGTCCATGGCAGTGTCACAACAGGCTCTTGGTGTTTTTGGCCACACCATGGCCCCCAGCAAAGGTAACACTTGCCCTCGGTGACCTAGCCCTTGTCCCAATAATGAGGGTATGTCTCACACCAGCCCCATCAATCTCACTTACCCTTCTTGGAGGGTGCCTCGCCATTGTCTTCTGTCCTCAACACTGGCCTTTTGCTTGTGATTAATGCCCGAAGTCCCATCAGAGTGATCTTTCTACTTATCTGCAAAGGGTATTAATCTCACCACCCCACTGTAATGCTGACTGCCTGTCACAGGATCCTCAACACACATACCCCTCTCCCTGATGCTGACTGCTTGTCACAGTATCCACATCTGACCTGCTCCTCTTCAATTCCAATCATCTATTGTCTGTGGGGAAGTGATTAATTTTAGCAATGTCACTCTTGTGTTGGGTTTAGAGTACAGCCTGGTGAATATATTTGTGAGTTCCCCAATGTGAGGCAAGGCCGAGTGATTTTTCAAGCAGGAACAGATCTCTCTCAAGGTTGATGATATTATTGTTAATAAACTCCTGTACCATTTTTTTCAAGTATGGATATTAGTTTTGAGAATAACAAACTTTTTTAATACTGCATCGAGGGCCACTGAAAAATTCCTTCTCTAGTTCTCTGACCCTCCTTCAGCTGAGACAGGCACTTTATTGGTGCCAGAATTATTATGGAAACCTTACAACAAAAAGTAAATACAATACTTTTGACCATGGGATTTGATCTGGGGGCAGGTTCCATTCATGAGGCAATGATAAATTCTCCTTAACACATTTCTATCCCTGAAATGAATGCCCCCCTCCCAC